AATTTAGAGACTTTGGATATCCATTCATTGTTGCACTAAAATATTAATTTTTTTATTGAGGAAGAAACAAAAAAAATTTTAAAGACCATTTTCATGGCTGTCAAATTGGAACCACTTCTGGCTGACCCTTCACCAGGCTTTTAGGAGACAAGTCAGTCATGAAGAGATCACCCACTTTTCTCCTGATCGGTTGCTGGTGAACTCTGACTGCTAGAGAGGCGTCAACTCTCTGTATCTGTAGTATGGTTTTTGAGAGCACCAAGAGATTTTTTCTTTTAAATTCAAACAATGACAATCTTTTTCTTATTGTATGTTTATTAAAAAGTATCACCTCGTGTTATTTCCATAGTAAATATGTGAGGAAACATCACCTACTTTGATCTAGATAGAAAGGCTTTATTTCTCGGAGAAGAAATCATACAAGTGATAACATTTTGTATAAATATTGTCATATGCTTTTTCTAGTCTCTTCATGGAGATATAAGTAGCCTAAAAACAACTTTACTTGAAGGCTTTGCTGGTGTTGAAGAAGCCAGAGAACAAAATGAAAGGAATCGTGACTCTGGATATCTACATTTACTTTATAAGAGACCATTGGATCCAAAGAGTGAAGCTCAACTCCAGGTAAGAGAATTTGTCTAAAGAAGAGTATTTAGAAACAAAAGCCCATGTGATTGTTTTCTCTCTTTTGTTGGATACTGATTTGGATGCCTGCCTCTCTGTAAGTTATCATTTCTTACTACTAATTTACCACCTTCTCCAGTGATAAGACCAAAAGGGCATATTTTCCCAGTTAATTCTTGAAAATAATTAAAAAAAAATTTTGTGTGTGTGTGTGTGTGTACCATCAAATCGATCTGACTGCTACAGGAGGAGTTTGTCCCTCCTTCTCTAGCAGAACATCTGGTGGATTGGAACGGCTAACCTCTGGGATTGCAATGCAGCTAAAATATTATTTTAAAGATTCTTTACTAAATCTTAAACTTGGTAAGGAGAACTCTCCTGAAAAAGACATGTTTATTAGTCAAATCATCAATAATATTTATTCAGCAACAGTATTTGTCAATAGCAGTACTCTGCTATATATTTTTTATATATTATTTCTAGTTTTTAAAGCCAAGAGATCTGTCTGCAAGGTAGGATTATAATTGATCCCACTGTATAGATAAGGAACTTGCGCCTTATAAGCTAAATAGCTTATCCGAGGTAATACTATTAGTACAAATGTAAACAAAATTGAACATCTGTCTGTCTGGGATTTTTTCGGTATGCCATATTTTAACAAAATTAGCCTTTTCACTAATTCACAACTATTCTTAATTTCTATTTTAGTTAATCTAATGTGTGTGTTCCATATTTAATTTACCTTAGATTGTTGTATCTCTAACCCATGGCCCCCCCCCAACCAGTAGATAAAAAAATCCTCATAGAACCTTATGTCCTTGGTGGGTCATCTTTCACTATCTCACCTCACCCCTCACACTTGCCTGGAATGCTGATAATGGAGGGTGCAGAGATAACAGCATTTTTCCTCAGCTAGGGCTTGACAGTCTGTGAGTATGATAAATCCTTTCCTGCCTCTGAGAATTTGAGACTTTTTTAATTCTTTTTACTCTATTATTTATACCCTTACCATTTCTCTAAACTTACAGAAAGTAGAAAAATGAAAGAAAGCTTGAGGAATACCTCGTGAGCTAGTCCTTTTACTATATAGTGTCGGCTGCCTGCCCATCTTTCATCACGCTTCTAGCCCATCCCAGCTGTACAGTCTTCCTGCATGATTTTTTTAAAAAATTTTATTTTATTGAACATTCACAGGGATTTTGGATTTCCATTCATTCATTGTTGCATTTTTCTCCCTGCCCACCCCTCCCCCTGAGTTCACGCTTCTCTTTGAAAAGTAAAAGAAAAATTCTTTCATTGGTATACAGTCATCCCCCCTCCCCAGTACACTCCACTATGCAGCCTTCATTTCTGGACTCGTGTCATGACCATAATACCCAATCATATATTGTTTTTAAACTGTTCTCTTCCTCATCTGTTTCAATGCAGTATATATAATTTATCCAATTTTTCTCAGTCTCACCCCAACCTTGATGTCAGTCCTGTTCTACAGCAGTGGCACTGTGCAGTATTTGTCCTTTTGTGACTGAGATATTTCATTCAGCATAATGTTCTCCAGGCTCACCCATTTTGAATTATATTGCATGAGTTCCTTGTTTTTCAGTGCAGCGTAGTATTCCATTGTGTGAATATACCACAGTTTCTCTATCCATTCATTTGTTGATGGGCACTTAAGATTGTTTCCAACTCTTTGCTATTGTGAACAAAGCCTCAGTAAACATGGGTGAGCATATATCTGCCTGGGTGACAGTTATGATTTCTTTAGGGTATATTCCCAGTAGAGGAATTGCTGGGTCAAATGATATCTCTATTTGCAACTTTTTGAGAAAGTGCCATACAGCTTTCATAGTGGTTGCACCATTTTACACTCCCACCAGCAGTGAATAAGGGTTCCAGTTTCTCCACAACCTTGCCAGCATTTTTTGTTTGTTACTCTGTTAAATTTTGCTATTGTTAGTGGAGTGAGATGATATCTTATAGTTGTTTTGATTTGCATCCCTCTTAGAGCTAGGGATTTTGAACATTTCTTCATGTACTTGTTGGCCATCTGAATGTCTTCCTTGGTGAAGTTCATATCCTGTGCCCATTTTTCAATTGGATTGTTTGCCTTTATCTTGTTGTGCTTCCTGCATGTTTTTAGACCTTCATTTTGCAGCCAAAGAAAGAGAAAAGTATACAGTTAAAGAAGAAAATGTCTTGTTTCTAAATGTTATCTCCTCTTTTTTATTGTAGATAATACAAAGAAGATAATAATAAGTAGAATTTATTGAGTGCTTACTGCACTATTCTAAGATCTCCCATTCATGCATTAACTTATTTATTCATTGTTTATAAAGGAGGAAACGGAGATACTGAAATTACTTAAGTTTTTCTACTAATATTAAGGCTGAAACTTTGACCCAGGTAGTCTAGCCTCAGAGTCTGTACTCTTAACTGCAGCTAAATAGGGTTTGAACTATGATAAAACATGAACAGATAAATATAATACAGAATATGTGGCTGTGGGACCACAAATGAGGGAGCAAGTAAGTCACAGAATAGAGGTATTGGTGATCCTAGAAGAAAAGTTGGGTGTTGTTGGTAGACAAAGTAACGAGGTGAAATTGGGTAGTATAATAGTAATATTAGTGTCAGAACCTAGTTAAGTTCCTAAAAGGAGGCGATGAGATTAGCCTAAGACTGACTCCTCTAAGATGGAGGTCACACATACTTCCACTCTTTGATCTTTTCACAAGTTCTTACACCACCCACTGTTCTCCATCCCCTGTACTCTTTGCTGGGTCTGGTAATTTGTTGTAGTGGCCACACAGAACCACAAAGCATACTCACAGTTGCAGGATTTGTTTGGCAAAGAGACAGGTTACAGTTAAGGACCAGTACAGAAGTTGCAGAAACAATTCAGGGAACATTTGTGTGATCAGGATAGCCATTTTTCAACTGTGTCTCAAAGCTTGCTTTGCTCTCAGCCTCTGCTGCTGGGCCTGCTCAGGCCTGGCCTTACCCCGCTTGAGCAAGTACTCCAGCTCTTTAGCTTGTTCCTGGACTACCTTAAATGTGGTGCCCAAGAAAATACCCCTTGATGAGATAGATGGATTGATTCAGTGACTGGGATAGTGGGTGTGGGTGTGTTGGAGACTGTGAGATTGGCACAGTATAGAGAGGGTTTAGGGCTGTTGTACATAGGGTCGCTATGATTTGCAGGCGACCGACGGCACATAACAACAACAACAACAACAACATACTCCTCCAAATTGGGTCCTTCCTTCTTCTAAGTAAGAATAGACTCTTCTGTGTAAGCTTGGTGGGAAAAATTGCTGCCCTGTACGTGCTCACCAAGAAATCTGGAGAACAACCACTTGGCCAACTGACTGGAAGAGATCGATATTTGTTCCTATCCCAAAGAACGGTGACCCAACAGAGTGTGGAAACTATAGAACAAGCTCACTGATTTCACATGCAAGCAAGATTTTACTGAAGATTATCCAAAAACGACTGGAACAGCACATCAGCAGAGAACTACCAGAAGTCCAGGCTTGGTTTAGAAGGGGTTGTGGTACTAGGGGTATTGTAGCTGATGTCAGATGGATCTTAGCTGAAAGCAGAGAATACCAGAGGAATGTCTCTCTGTGTTTCATTGACTATGCAAAGGCATTTGACAGTGTGGATCATAACAGACTGTGGCTGACTCTGAGAAGAATGGGAATCCCAGAACACTTGAACATTCTAATGCGAAACCTATACTTGGACCAGGAGGCAGTCGTCAGAACAGAGCAAGGGAACACTGCATGGTTCAGAATTGGGAAGGGCGTACGCCAGGGATGCATCCTATCTCCATACCTTTTCAACCTGTATGGAGAACAGATTATCCGGGAGGCTGGGCTCTATGAGGAGAAATGTGGGGTCAAGATTGGGGGACGATTTATCAACAATCTGTGTTATGCAGATGACACAACCCTGCTTGCTGAAACTGAAGAGGACCTGAAGCACCTGCTGCAGAGGGTCAGGAACTGCGGCCTCCAATATGGATTGAGGCTCAGTGTCAAGAAGACAAAGATTCTCACCACTGGATCAATTGGCAGCATCAGGATGGATGGTGAAGAGATTGAGATTGTACACAGCTTTAGTTTGCTTGGCTCCACAGTCATCACTCTTGGCACCCATAGCCAGGAAATTAAAAGGTGCATTGCCATGGGAAAGTCTGCTGTTAGGGACCTCTCCATAGTACTGAAGAGCAGTGGTGTCTCCCTGGAGACTAAGGTGCATCTGATACAGGCCATGGTCTTTGCAATCACTTGTTATGCATCAGAGAGTTGGACAATGACCAGGGAGGATAGAAGGAAAAGTGATGCCTTTGAGCTGTGGTGCTGGAGAAGAGTATTGAGAATACCATGGACTGCTAGGAAAACAAACAGATTTGTCCTGGAAAGGGTTAAACCGGGTGGCTCCTTGGAGGCAAGGATTCTGAGGCTCCATCTAACATACTTTGGACATGTTGTGAGGAGAGACCGGTCCTTGGTGAAGGACATCATGCTTGGGAGGGTGGAGGGATGGCGCAGGAGGGGAAGGCCCTCTATGAGGTGGATTGATTCTGTGGCTGGGGTAATCGGGATGGGAGTGTCAGAGACAGTGCGATTGGCACAGGACAGAGCGGAGTTTAGGGCTGTTGTACATAGGGTCGCTATGAGTCGCAAGCGACTCGACAGCACATAACAACAACAACAAAACTATAAAGGGAAATGTGAGGAACAAAATGGTGCTAATCTGTGGTTCACTGTATAAAATAATTTGGGAGCATAGAGTTAAACTAGAAGAGGTTTCATATTTATTCATAAGGGAAGGTGGGGAATTAGAGAAATGGCCTGTCTTGAAAGGATTTTTATAATTGAGTGACTCTCCAAGGTGGCTGCTGTTGCAGAGTCTTTTGTGTCAAGAGATAGGACATATATTGGAATGGGGTATGTGTGTAGTATAGCAAGATCTTGTAGTTCAGGTCAGCTCTCAGTCATTAGAGTGTTTCTGCACATGCTCAAGGATTGATTAGAACTGGTCTCACCGTAGACTAGATTTTCATGAAGTTTATCTCTAGAGAATAATTTCTTAGTCCAAGATAGGGTTGGCAATAACTATCATAATGGATAGCAGAGTTTAAGGGTTTATAGGATAGGAAGTCCCAAGATAGGCCTTAGTGTCCTAACTCAAGCTCTGTAAGTCAGCAGATCTCACTGCAGCCATCTTGTATCAGTCTTCTGGTCCTTAACACTTGTGCCACTGCCACCTTTGCTATACTGTGTGGTCTCTGACAGTCTTCAGTATTAATGCACTCACACGTGTACGTGTGCGCGTGCCCTCTCTTTCTGGCTCTCATGCTCTCGCTCTCCCTCTCTTTTGGGTCTAGGATGTTCTCAGTGCAGGGATGCCAAGTTCAAAGAACAAACTTTACCCTTGACCCTTATTAATGGTAGTAATGTTCCCCTCATGCTCTGTGGATCTAGTACTTTAAAACCTAGCAGGATGACAAAACTGATAACTTGATAACTGATACTCTTGATAACCTGTGGGTGCCTTATTTACCAAGTTGCTTTCCAATCTCTGCTAGTTTAGTGAATTTTGTTTGCATAGTCCCAGACAGACACTTTGTCTGAATTAAAGACTAGAGCTCACTCGGTAGGCCATATAAAATCTGCAGGAAGGCATTTCATGCCCTATACCCCTAAAAATAACAACAGCAACAACAACAAATAGAAACAAAACACAGCATTAACTGATGCTGAGAGGTATAGTCATATTTGGAGCAAAGAGCTTGCCCAACTCATCAAGTATTTAGTTGAAATATATCTATGCTGTTTCCTTTTAAAAAAAATCTAATTAAGACATACACCTTTATCAAACAGTAATTTTGGGTAAGACGCTTAACTAGAGTTTTGCTACAACATGGGAGGCATAGTCTTTCCAAAACAGCTTTTCAGGCATCTCTTTCTCCTTGTTCTGTGAACATTCAAGTGCCCAACAGACAGTTTGCTGCTGCTACAAAGCCTGTCAGAAAACAACAAAAAGGCCCTAAAGAGAAAACTGTAGAAGAACTAAAAGATGAGATAGAAAAAATAAAGTCTTATCGCTACATGGAAGGTCAACCTGAAGATGATGTCTATTTAAAACGCTTATACCCAAGACAAATATATGAAGTGGACAAAGCTGTTCATCTACTTAAGAAATTTCAAGTACTGGACTTCACTTATCCAAAGCAAGGCGTTTATCTTGATTTGACACTTGATATGTCTTTACAGAAGAAGAAAAGAGTGGAGCCATTTGCCAGTGTTCTTAGCCTTCCATACCCATTCAGTTCAGAAGTCAGTAAAGTTGCTGTTTTCACAGGGAATGCATCACAGACTAAAATAGCAGAAGAAAATGGAGCTGTTTTTGCTGGAGGAACTGATCTGATTCAAAAGGTTTTGACTGATGAAATTCATGCAGACTTTTATATAGCTGTTCCAGAAATAATGCCTGAGCTTAATCCACTAAAGAAGAAACTAAATAAAAGATTTCCGAAGTTTACTCGAAGTAAGGGAGATTTTTTTCTTTTTTCATTATTTCAATATCCTGTCAGTAACTCTGTTCATTTAGCATGTAAAATTGCAAATATTGTGTTCTATTATTCAAATATTATAAAATCAAAACAGAATAAAATAATATAAAATAATAAATATAAAAAAACTAAAAGGAAGGAGGAATAATTTTGAACATACAAGTAGTCTTTGTCTTACAATATGTTCAGACTACAACATAATAAACTTACATCCTTTTTTGGTTTGTGGATGGTGCTTTA